GACTATGGTCTCTGTGCTCTCACTAGGTCATGTCAACTGTTTCTGCGGGTTTCTCCAGCATTGTCTTGGTTCCTTTGCTCATCCCTCCTCCCTCTCCATAACTGGATTCCAGGAGTATGGCTCAGTGTTTAGCTGTGGGTGCCTGCTTCTGCTTCAATCAGCTACTGGATGAAAGCTCTAGGAATGGCAACCAAGGTAGTCATCAATCTCATAGGGGAAGGGCCTCAAAGGCAGCCTCTCTCCCACTGCCTTGATTCTTAGTTGGGGTCATCCCTGTGGATCTCCAAACATTTCCCCAGTGCCAGACCTCTCTCCAAACCTATACTGGCTCCCTCTATCAAGGCATCTCCTTTCTTGCTCTCCTCTATTCCTCCCCTGTCTCAGTCCTTCTAATCTCTCCTGTTCTCCTCCCCCCTCCCCTTCTCCCCCTCTCCCCTTCCCACCTCCCTCCTCTCTCTCCCCTTTGCTCAGGGGTTCTTGGAGTTTTTCTCTTGGGGTCCTCCTTGTTTCCTAGTTTCTCTGGTGGTATGGATTGTAGGCTGGTAGTCTTTTGCTCTATGTCTAATATCCATATATGAGTGAGTACATAACCTGCTTGTCTTTCTGTGATTGGGTTACCTCACTCAGGAAGTTTTCTTCTAGTTCCATCCATTTGCCTGTAAATTTCAAGATTTCATTGTTTTTGTCTGCTGAGTAGTACTCCATTGTGTAAATGTACCACATTTTCTCCATCCATTCTTCGGTTGAGGGCATCTAGGTTGCTTGCAGGTTCTGGCTATTACAAATAGTGCTACTATGAACATAGTTGAACATATGTCCTTGTTGTATGGACGTGCATTCTTGGGGTAAATGCCCAAGAGTGGAATTGCTGGATCTTGAGGTAGACTGATTTCCATTTTCCTGAGAAACTACCATACTGCTTTCCAAAGTGGTTGTACATGTTTGCACTCCCACCAGCAATGGAGGAGTGCTCCTCTTTCTCCACATCCTCTCCAGCATAGACTGTCATTGATATTGACTTTTTAAATCTCTCTGTCTCTTTCTCTCTCTGAGTGTGTGTGCATGATTACGTTATAGGCTAGATCTGCATATGAAGGAGAACATGCATTTTTTTCTTGTTCTAAGCTTGAATCACCTCGCTTGATACTAGACTTTTCAGATGGATCCATTTTCCTGAAAGTGATTTTGTTTTTCTTTGTAGCCAAATGAAACTCCATCATATAGATGTTCCACACTGTCATTACCTGCTCATCTGTTGATGCATATTTAGGCTGGCTCTGTTCCTTGTTCTTTAGAGGTGCATTTTCCAGTTAGTTGTTATTCATATGTAATTCTCCTGACTCAAGTGTTCTGAGTTTTAGCCAGTTATATAATTTGCAATGAATTACTTTTGCTTCTTTTGTTTGTGTTTTTTGTCTTTATTGTTTCCTTTTCCTGCCTTATTGCAATGGCTAGGACCTCTAGGTTGGTGTTTTATGTGATAGATTATTGAAAGTATTTTTTTCTGTTCCTATTTTTTTAATGAATGCTTTTGGCTCATCAAGGAGTATGGAACTTAAGAGCTGAATGACAACTCAATAGTTAGTATCTGTTATCAGAAATGCTGTTGCTTCTCAAGCATCTGTTGAAATGGTCATGTGATTTCTCTTTTTTTTTCTGTTCATGTTAATCACTTTCACTTATTTTCCTTTACTGAAACAGTTTCACTTGTCTGAAACAAAACAACCTGGTCATGACATATTTTCTTGACATATTCTATCTGCAGATATTTAGTTCTGTGTGTCTTTGGTTCTTTCTTTTTTTCTTACGTAGCCCTGGCTCTCCTGGACTCACAGCAATCTGCCTGCTTCTGTTTCCTGAGTGCTGGGCCCCAAGGCATGTGCATGGTCCCAAGATTTCTTTTCTGGCCTCAGTTTAGGTGAATGATAACTGCTTGGGATGTCTTCCCTTATGCTCTCCAGCTTCAGTGTCTAGGTAATAGTCATCTTATAAGTAGTTTTTGTGAGAGTGAACTTTCTCTGGTCTCTAAGAAGACAGAGTAAGCCTGGCATCGTCATTGCTTGTGTTTGGCAAATTCACTTGTAAAGCTGTCTAGACTTAGCATTCTTCTTGGGATATTTTAAAGTGCTTTTGTGATTTGAAGAATCTTTATAGGACCTTTGAGATTTTCTGCTTCTAGGTGAGTCACTTTTGGTGATTTATATTTTATAGGAATGTATCCATTTCCTCCCCAAATATTAGCATAGCAATTTTTTGTAATGCCCCCTTAATTTTTTCTAGTTTTTCTTCTCCATCTACCTGTGTCTCCTTATTACCAGGATTTTATTTTATTATTCTTGTCACACATTGTCAGATTATTTTAATCATTTTCAAAGAATCAATTTTTGAATTGATCTTCCATTTTGTTTCCTTATTTCATAGCAGATTAATATTTTATTATTTCCTTCCTCCTATTTGGGGTGTTTATTATATTTTTAACCTCTATGTAAACATCGAAGGCTATAAAATTCCCTGTTAAGTATTGTGTTATGCTTCCCACAGGACTTGGCAAGCAGTATTTTTGCCATTTTTTGTGTTCTGAATATTTTCTTATTTCATTTTGACACCTGAGCTGTCTAAAAACATTTTGGAAGTTCCTAAATTATATTTCA